TTCTTCTTCTTCTTCTTCTTCTTCTTCTTCTTCTTCTTCTTCTTCTTCTTCTTCTTCTTCTTCTTCTTCTTCTTCTTCTTCTTTTTTTTTGGCAGTTGGGGTTTAGTGACTTGCCCAGGGTCACACAGCTAATAATTGTCAAGTGTTTGGTTTGAGGCTGGATTTGAACTCAAGTCCTCCTGACTTCAGGGCCGGTGCTTTATGCACTCCCTTCCTTTTTAATACAAAGTCATACAACCACTTAGGATTACTGCAAATTAAAATTCAGAAAATAGAAAAGTATTTTGCAAAGTACATGCCCCTTTCTCTGATCCATGAAGCTACCTGGGCATCAACCAGATGTTCTCATCATATACGGGTCCCAAGAAAATGAAAGCTGCCCCCCACCTCAACCCCAGGTAGTAGAGAAGTGTGCTTGTTACCACATTCTCTTACCTTTTATTAGGAGAAAACCATTAATGAGGTCCAGCTGTGGGCCAAATTGAACATGATCTGCCCTGGAGACACTGAGTATGGAAAGTCATCATGGGGTTTACCTTTTCCCTAAGCAATGGTGGTGGAAATGTGGTAAAAAATTAAAAACTTCTGATGCTGGGGCAACTGAAAATTGTCATAAATTATTGCTTAGAAAAAATGATTGCTGCCTCCAGATGTTCAGACATACATGACTCTGCCCCTGTTGCTTATTTTCCCTACTGTAAAACTATGGTTAGCCCAGCATCCGGTGTCACCAGCTACTATTACCTCCTGTGTCTGTTGTCTTATTTATCTTGGTGAGCACTGAACCTGAAAATGGCATTTTTTAAAATGAAACCTTCTGGGTTAAATAGTGCTGGGATTGGGAGTGGTACACAATACTCACTGATATGCAACAATGACTCAGAGCAGGGAGGGTTGGTCTTTATTTCTCCCACAATCCTTCCCTTCTCCTTCTCTTCTCTATCCTGTCTGTTGATTTGGTTTTGGCCTCTATCCATTTTATGTTAAGAGTTACTCTTGGATCATAGGATCATAGATTTAGAGCTAAAAAAGACAGTCAAGGTCACTTGATCCAAATTTTACAAAGGCCAAGTGTGGTAGATTGAAAATACAAAAGCAATTTTTGAACTTTTAATAGGGTACCTGGACCTCCAGTGCTTTAGTGTTAGAAGGACTCGATAGAAATATAATCTCCTCATTTTATCAACAAGTAAACTGAGACCCAGAGAGATAAAATAATTTACCCAAAATTATACAGCTAGTTAGGGACAGGGCTATAAATTCACTCATTTATTCATTTAGTAAGAATTTATCAAATAGCTCCTCTGTGCCAGGCACTATACAAGGTGTTTGGAATAAAAAGACAAAAATAAAATATTATCTGTTCTTAAAGAGCTTATATTCCACTGACAGGAAACAAGATGAACACAGATAAGAAGATATAAACTATATTTAAAGTTAATACAAAGTAATGTTGGGGAGAGAACTGAAATAACTGGAGGGATCAGTAAAAGCTTTTGAACTGGACCTTGAACAAAGCTAGGTATTCCAATGAGCAGTAAAAGGAGAGCATTTCAAGCATAGGGTACAGCCTCACCCCTACCGATTTCATTTTGCAGATTTAGGAGACTGGAGCCCAGAGATATGTAACGACCTGTCTGAAATTTACACAGCAAGTTTACTGAGAAGCCAAGAGCCACGACTAGCACCCCAGTCTCCTGACCGCCACCCCATCATTCTGTTTACCACATTGCCCTCTAATCCACATTACCTGCTTCTTCCCCTGATAAGACAACCCTATGTTGAGCACAGCAAAGTACAGAGTTAAGAAAATACTAACCAGATGTCACTGAAGAGAAAATTCATTTTTCACTCTTCAGCACCAAGAAACACCGTAACTGGTTCTGTCTGCTTTGCTTTAGAGCACAGATATTGGGGACCATGCAGTTCACATTAACTTTGTGGCCACAGTTGCAAAGCCACATTTAGAGAAAGAGAAGTGAAACCAACATACTGCCAGAAGGCTATTCATACCAAACTCCGCCCCAAGATTTTGACATTTTCTCTCTTTTTAAATTAGAATTTTTTAATTTAGGGCTAATAAAAGGAATCAAATTTATAACCTAGGCATGGCCCTAACTCATCCCTGAAAGTAGACGGTTTCAAGATGGCTATCCTAGAATATCCAGCCCATTCAAAGGACAATGTTTAAGAATTAGAAAGGGTCAGGCATGGGTATGCATGTCTTACAATCCCTGCTGCCAGGGAGGCTAAGACTGGTGGATTGCTTGAGTTAAGGAGTTCTGAGCTAAAGTAGAGCTAAAGCCAATTGGGTGGCCAAACTAAGTCCAGTACCAATATGGTGAACCACCCCACCCTCACCCCAAAAGAACAGGGGGCCAGTTGGTTGCCCAAAAAGTGCAGAACTAGTCTAGGTCAGAAATAGAACAGGTCAAAGCTTCCACGCTGATCAGCAGCTGAGGGGCAGCTACACTTCCAGACAAGACAGAGAGACCCAGTCTCACCAAAAATAAAGTAATAATGAGACTGACTTTCTTGTCCAAATCCTTCATTTTATAGATGAAAAAACCAAGGCCCAGGGAGGAGAAATTATTTGCCAAAGGTCACACATATAGTAAGTAGCAGATTTAAGATTTTAACCCAGGTTCTATGACTCCAAATTCAGTGTTCATTCCACTGTATCACCATTAATAGTATCAAAGTTTTTCAGAAAGATGCCCATCATTAGCCTTTCTTCCTCAGGAATGGGTGATTGAATTCAGTCATGAAGGATCAGATACATGGCTCTTACAATAAATCTGTAGTTCATGTCATCAGTGCTTACATCCTTTCTTTGTTATACTCTGTGTCCTGGTTCTCAAATGGTACATGTATAACACAAGACATTAAGAAAAACACAGATAGGCCACATATGTTCCTGACTGATTGCTTTCCTCAGAGCCTTCCCTATCATTCATTTCCCTATTCTCTCATACACCTTACTATAATTTGCACAGGGTTGAGTCAGTCTCACCAGGGTACACCAGAAATGAAAGCAGTGCAAAGATGGCTTTAATACCTATTCCCATCCTACCAGATAGACCCTGCTACTTATTGCCTAAATAACTTTGACCAAGATACATAAGAATAGTGTAGTGGACAGAATGCTGAACTTGCAGTCAGATCTAGGTAAAAATCTTGCCTTAGACACTTACTAGCCATGTGAACCTGGACAGTTGGGTATAGAAATCTGTATTACCTAACAGGGAAGTAGGAAGGAAAGGGGATAAGAGAAAGAAGAAAGGTAAAAAGGAGAGTGGATTGAGGGAGGCAAACAGAAACAAAACAAACTTTTGAGGAGGGACAGGGTAAAAACAGAGAGAAAGAATCTATTATGCCTTAACTGAAATAAAAAAGACAGGGGTAGCAATTATGATGTCAGACAAGCAAAAGCAAAAATAGACCTAATTAAAAAGAGGTAAGCAGGGAAACTACATTTTGCTAATAGGTACTACAGACAATGAAATAATATCAACATAAAGATGTACATACCAAATGGCATAATATCCAAACTATTAAAGGAAAAGTTAAATGAGTTTTAGGAGATAGCAAAACTATGCTAGTGGGGGACCTCAATTTTCCCCCTCAGAGCTAAATAAATCTAACCACATAATAAATAAGAAAGAAGTTAAGGAGATGAATAGAATTTTAGAAAAGTTAGATGTGATAGACCTCTAGAAAAAACTGAATGGAATAGAAAGGAGTATACCTCTTTCCCAGCTATACGTGACACCTTCATAAAAATGGACTACCTTTTAGGGCATATAACCTCACAAACCAATGTAGAAAAGCAGAA